GTTCAACTTCCATCAGTTCAGATCAGTTCAGTTTAGCTTCAATCAATTCAATTCAGTTCAGTTTAGCTCCAATCAGATCAGTTCAGTTCAAATCGGTTCAGTAAATGTGATTAGGCTTAAGGACTTGTTCTTTTCACTTGAAACTAGTAAATCTGGTCTGAATTTTTTAAGGTTTGATCTGAATTTTTCTGATCTGGTCTGGTTAGATCTGATTTAACAATTCGACTAATTTTATTATTGCATTTCAATAATAATTAAATTTATAAAGAAAAACATCATCAAAGTGGATCTTTTTAGATCCGTGAACTTTTTGAATGTGTAGTTATTATTAAAAAAAATTTAATACGTAATTAACGATATTTAATGATAAGTAAATCATAATCAAAAGTTCTTATCTAGTGTGATCTGAATATTTTTAATGATATAAAATAAGTTGAAGAGAACATGTCTTATGGCCTGTTCTAATAGATTGAAATCAGCTGAAATGAACTGAACTGAACTGAATTAAATTGAGCTGAACTGAACTAAACTGAACTGAAATGAATATTTTATAAGAGAAGGAAAGTAGGAGCGGAACTGAACTGAACTGAATATAAACGTATGAGAACAGACCCTTAATTAGGACTTGTTCTCTTCAACTTATTTCAGATAATTATTACTTATTCCTTAATAAATTCATATCAGATCAGACCAGATCAGAAAGTTTCAGATCAGACCAAATCAGAAATTTTGATTATCATTTATTACTTATCGTTAATTGCGTATTAAATAAATTTATAAAATTACATATATATAAAGTTTATGACGAGACGAACTAACAAGATCCATTTTGATACTCCCTCCGTTTCAATTTGTTAGTCCTATATACTATTTTGGGCGTTTCAAAAAGATCTACCCATATTGAATGTATTCTACTTTTAACTTAGTTATGATTGGTTAAATTAATGATTGTGCATTGATAAAATGAGTCTAAGTAAAGAAATTATTCCCTTAAATTATGCAATTATACTTGCCGGTTTCCTAAAAAAAACAAAAAAGTTTAAATAAGGCAAAACTATTTATGAATTGTTTTTTACTTTAATGTTAGATTCCAAATATTCTTCTTTTCTTATTTTATGTGATAGATTCCATATGGGACCATCATATTGAAACGGAGGGAGTAATGTTTTTCATTATAAATTACTCGTAGTATTAAAATGCGGTCAAAGTTTAGTCAAATTGTTAAATCAGATCAAACTAGACCGGATTAGAAAAATTCAGATCAGACCTATAAATTCAGAACAAATCTACTTATTTCAGATGAAAAGAACAAATCCCTAATAAGTACCAATATTGTTCCTCCCCTATCAATAAAAAAATAAAAATAAATAAATTACGGAGTATCAAAAATTTTCTTTGAAGTAATAAATGTACTATTTGTCTATTACAACATCCTGTATCCCTGTACCGTTGTACGTCATATCAAATTGTACTACTCTTCTCCCCGAATATTGTACTACATACATAGCTTAGAGACGAAACCCATTCATAACAACAAAATTCACAAACTTCACTATTTTAGAACAATCACTATTTCCCGAACAAAAAAAATCAAACAAAACCCCTCAGAAAATCTTCCAAATTCTCCAACAACAAACAACAAATCACCCCCAAATTTCTATCTTTCCCCTCCTAAATTCAAGATGATGCACATGACTTTTTACTGGGGTACAAAAATGGTGTTACTCTTCGATTTCTGGAAAACCGATTCATGGCTAAGTTACTCACTCGCTCTCTTATTCTGCCTCCTCTTTTCCGTCTTCTACCAATACATGGAAGATCGCCGATTATGTGTTTTAGCCATCGGTATCGTCCCACCGCCTTCGGATCAGCCGTCAACGCCGTTTCTCCACCCTCGCCTCGGAACCCGGTTGAGCAAATCGGCTCGATTTGCCACGGCCGTGTTGTTTGGGGTCAACTCCGCAATTGGGTATGTTTTGATGTTGGCAGTTATGTCGTATAATGGTGGTGTGTTTATTGCTATTGCTTTGGGGCTTGCTGTTGGGTATTTGTTGTTTCGTGCTAAGGAGTATGAAGCTTTGGTTGTTGAAGATGCTTGTGCTTGTTCTTGATTGGAAATTTCTATTTTTGTGATGTTGTAATTTTACTTTTGAATTTACTTGTAATTTATGTTTATATGTTGGTGAATTTGATGGAATTATTGGAATTTGTATATCGATTGGTTTGGGTGAATTTGATGAATTGGGGTTTTATTGATTCATTTCTATTGCTGCTTTATCTTGTTTATGTCTCAGAGAGTCGTGAAGGGCAATGATGTAGACGAGAATCATCCCTCTATTGGAATCATTATTAAGTTGGGCAAAATTTAAGATCTGTGTAAGAGTGCTGAAATTGGCGAAACAGTTTGTTAAACAAATGTGAGAAGTTTTACCTAAACTAGTTATGTCCAAATAAAACAAACTAGAGATGATCAATCCTAATTTTGGCCGAATTTGGGTAAAATTCACGGACTATATTGCGGGCTTTGGGCAGGATTTTTGGGCACGGTACATGATCACCTCTAATATTAGTATTGAAAGTATAGTGTTTATGGATGATGTAAAATTCTAAATTCGATTGAAGAAGTTGTATGTCTATAAGGCAACAAGAAAAATGATCTCCAAATCATTTCATTGAGCAATTATTTCCTCACTGCTCCGGCACACTTGTTGATCGCGGATTAGTCTCATCACTCATGGTTTGGACGATTTGTCAGTGGCAAGGCTTGACCTTAAAACTGTTTTCTATGAAAAATTGATCTTTAAACCATCAGAAGGCAAAACAGGGGGTTTGGCAACGAATGTTGTACACACGAAAACTATTCCTTTAGTCTATCCTCTCACTGCTCATACGCCTCCTTCTAGTTAGTTGCTTATTGGGAGATCGAAATCAAGATTGGGACCTGAATGAAGTAGTAAAACGAAGAAGTTCAACCAAGCGTACTAATGTGGCTGTGGGCATTTCTTCTGAAAACCTTTCATTAAGGGACACGAGTGAACAGATTCAAGGGAGAGTTGAAACTGCTTACCCTCCCTTCATTGAACGTCATAGCTTTATAAAACATCTCGAACTATTTTCTGATGGGGATCAAACGGCTGTTCATGTACCTTTCTCTCTGGAGGCTCAAGCAGAGGCTCGTTTACTTATGTTTTCTCATATGAATCTTTTGTCTCCAGCTATTGGGGATCCAATTTCCATACCAACTAAAGATATGCTTATTGGACTCTATATATATGAAACATGCCATACCCTAATTACGACGCCAAGACATGAATCTACAATAAGAGACCTCAAATTATGCAAAAACTTGTTAGCATCATGGTGAAACATGTCCATCTTTTGAAAAGGGTTGGACATAATCATTTGATCTTTACCTTAAAGAGTCTGATATGCCACCAAAATTTGAACCACACCCTGTGTTTTTGTGTATAATAATACTCAGCCTCGACCATTACAATTTTGTTTTCTTAAAATAAAGACTGCCTTTCCAACTTAAGGACCCTGATTTTTACACGATTACACCGTCCAATCCTCCACATGTTTGGAATCGGTTTCAATCTGTTCAAGTTATTACTCTACTAGATTGGATTACCCACGCTATGAATTCTATGTTGTTTACTTCTGTCTCATCAATTGGAAAAGATACATGCGAGTATGCGACCATGCGTCTAAATTTGCATTATGTTGGGTTTAGTGTAGCCCAATTCCATAAACCCAAACTTTTAATGTTGAAGGTTATTATGAGCATAAGATATTCCTTTAAAAAATTGAAAAATCTAGATTATTATGATAGAGTATAAAACATATTCCTGGGCCTCAACCATCAGTTTAAGCTTTTGGTTGAGTTGGTCCACTAACATGGTATTAGAGTCAGCGTGACACAAAGGTCACGGGTTCGAATCTCATCCACCCCCACTTTCAAGTGGAATATTAAGCGTTGGGTATGAGGAGGGCCCATGCTGCATCCACACTTCTAGCCCAAACGGGCTCTCGTGTGAGGGGGAGCGATAGAGTATAAAACATATTCCTGGGCCTCAACCATCAGTTTACACAATTGCATCACTTTGACGAGTCTATACTTGTCAACTTACATAATCTTTAAAGATCGGTATTAAGACTTAAAGAGTCATTTGGGAGTGATCCACCAAGATGATTTGCTGAACCGGAGCCAAACTCGATAAGTGTACAGGAAATTCAATATTTTTTTGTACCCTTGATACTTAATAAATTTAAATTAATACACTTTAAAAGAAAAATTTTATGTATAGAGGAAAAAATAATAAACAACAAATGTTTGAAATTCAAGAGACCTAAACCTTTAAACGAGCAGCTTGTGATCGACTTAACAAGCACGAGTCGAATAACCCTCTGCTCGTGATCGACTTGCTCGATAGACACCCCTAGTTCCTTTACTTCCTCCTATTCATACACAACTTTCTTGTCCTCTATTTCCTTTGAACTATAACTTTGTCAGCTTATTATCTATATAATGAGATTTTCATCGCATTATTCTTTCATGTACTCTCTTATACTTCCTCCGTTTTTTTTACTTGCAACACTTCTCTAAAAAAGAAATGTCACAATACTTGCAACACACGATAAAAGGAAAGTTACTTTAGGGAAAAACTATACTATATCCCTTATTTAAAGCACATGACCCACTAAATTACACTCCTAACAACCAGTCATCCTATTTTAAAATTTATTATACCATGTAAACCCCACCTTTTATAATTACCGCGCTAAAAGGTTGTTGCATCTAAAAGAAAACGGAGGAAGTACTTTTCATCTTAGATTTTTAAGTCCCTTGTCTTTATCAAATATCTAAGCATATTATTAATTACAAATAATTAACAACATAAATCATAAATATACAATGAAAGCATTTACTAATGTACCACCTTGGTCGGTTCGTCCCACTACAATCGCCCCATCCACTTTCCTTTTATGGACGTCTTACGTTTGCTCCAAATCTTTGTTGGATAAAAGAGATATAAGACATTAAAAGCCTGACATAAACAAATAATAGCCCCATCCCGTACTAAACAATCTTAGTGGAACGGAAGAAATAACGTAAATGTAATGATGGTCATCCTGGCTCTGGCAGATGAATATAGGTAGTAGCTAGCACCAAGTAGACTCATGGTAAATGTAATCAAGAACAGCAATGACTCCAAAAACGAAGGCCTGATCAATTCCTGGTTGCACAACCACATGGTATAGATCTTTCCTTGTCATCACCCTTTCTATTTCTTCTTTAACTCCAACCTGCCATTTATTTAATAAATAAATGTACTAATTTAAATCAGCATATAATCATGTCATTAGCAGCTACTCTATGGTCTACATATAAAACTTCAATTAGAAATATCTTTATGATTCAGACCTTAGCTAGCTATCGTAGCTTGTTTGGTCGACAACATATGATGACATTGTGCTATGATTCTTTACTTTTGATCATTATTCTTACAGTAGCTTCAATTCATACAGATACATTAAATTAGTATGGAGTATCATGTTTTGATTACTTCTCTGGCTATCAAACATGATACTCCGTAATTCTATATATTGGAAAATAATAGTCACATATACTAACTCTGTTTCTTTTTAGTTGACACGTATTCTTTTTTACGAAAATTTTTTTAGTTGACATGTTTCATTTTGGATAAATTTTTTTACCTTGCATTTACAAGCCACCTCACTTGCTTTTTCATTCTCTCTCACTCTCTCTCCTCCTTAATATATGTGACTAAATCAAACGCGTCAACTAAATACAAACAGAGAAAGTACTAATTAATAATTTCTTATGTTGAAGAGAGTCCAACTACAACGAACTATAGAGGATCTATATGTAAACCTAGTTTCATAAACTTAATGATGTATAAAGACTTGGAATAATGAGACTTATGTTAAATTTGGGAGATATTGAGGATTGTACGTACAACAAATTAACAATATAAGAGTAATTATTGATCGAGAAGCTTAATTAAACTACTCCCAACCTTTCACGACATAGTTCAATTCAAATTATACCGCTAATGTATCAATTATTTCTAGACAGAGTGACCTAAGTATGTTGAAATATAACAACTTGTAATCTAATGTACGTAGCCTAGCTTGGTTGATGTGGTAATGTGGAATGTACAAAAATGCAATTATATTATGTACGTCCTAACTATGAACAACATTTCATGGTGGTGATGGAATAAAGCTTATCCCTAAAACTATCCACTATATATGGTGTACGTTGGTTATAGAGGCTAAGGGAATAAGAATACGTATCCACTATCAAACTTGCATTTTAGATTCGATTGGAACACCAGGGACTACGTGATCATTATCAAATTAAAAAAAATACTTGTATATACTGTTTGTTCGGATTTAATTGTCACACTAGTACAAATTGAATGAAGTTAGCAGATTCGATATGTTTTTTTTTTTTTAAAAAGACGAGTTTAAGGGATTGTTGAGTACGTACCTGTGCTATAATATTTCCCATTGAGTCCACAATGCTGCAATTCTTATCAGGAAAATGACCTTTGATCTCAAAGTTCCAGTCTTTAACTTGCCCATTAACCTTGGGCTCAATTGAAATTCTAACTGGATTGTTTGTTGGGAAGCATGCGTTTTTATTAGGTTCTTTTATGCTGAAAACCGACTTTTCCAACCCTTCATAATCATAGTAGCCTTTCCATTTCTTGTATATGTTTAATGCTTGAACCAATCCACCCTATTATATCATAAGAAAACATGTCATATAATTATGATCAAATGAAATAATTACACCAAATTGTTAGGTGAAATATTCATCTTACAATCTCTCAAAACTTGTAAAATGTACAATATCCTTTCATATAGTTGGTTAATTAATTAAGTTTGTACTTGACATCACATGATTAAAATTTAATAATGACTAAAACTGAACTTGCTCGACTAGATAAAAGTTATGATCATATATTAATATATTATGATTAAACATTTGAAAACTTGAAACCAAATCAAACAACTCTTCCTATCTAAATGCGAATCATATGATCAATCTAATTTAAACGAACTATTTTCCATGTCTACAAGTCTACAACTCAAAACTTCGAGGTGAAGAAACAACATAAGTTGATTGTACAAAAAGGTACCGTGATTCTAGATATACTTAGTGTATAAATGTATGTACATGTAATAAAAATACGCACTTTTAATTGGCGAATAAGAAGAATATTATCACCATCACCATCGCGAAGAATCAACTCTCCTTTTTTTCCAAGGATCCCACAACCATCTACTTGAAACACAACCTTTTGGCTACAATCAGTAACCACAAACCCGCCACCACCCACCGCTTGAGGTCGTTGCCTCACCACCAACACAACTTGTGAAGATGAGCAATACATCTTGCTTATAATTGGTAACAAGTAATTTGGTTTTGATGCTTCCATATTTAGTTTCGTTTAGAGTCTTATACTAGAAAAAATATGTTCATGAAGCTAAGGTTTCCTAAGGGCCTAACTTCTTCTTATAGAAGAGTTTGTACAAAAAAGATTAAGTTCTTTTTAATTTTTAAAAATATAATAAGTCTAAAAGTATAATTAACAATAATGTATTGAAAAAAGTTTGGAATTCAAAGTTTGGCCGACCTTGACTTTGCATAAATCTATATGTAAAAAGTTTAAGCATCTTATTGTATAGGTTAATGTTAGTTATAGCATGCATTGACGTTTCGTGCTAAACATAAAGGTTGGCCAATCATTTCCAATAAAAAAAAGTATAGAGTTGCGTTGGTAGATATAGTTGCCCTTTTTATGCATTTCAAAAAGAAATACGTGACTTTTTGAAATTTGGCAAAGGTATGAAAATAGATAATACTAGACGTATGTTGTAATATATAGAGTAGAAAGGAATATTTCAAAAAACTTTAGTTGTTATTGCTTAAGATGATATGTATGGTGAAGTTAGAAATTAGTATTTGGGTAGCTTGACGGGTTTGTTTTGGATTCTAGTACTATGACTTGTTGAATGTGTCTTTCCTTTAAAGATCACTAGTTATTGCCTTGGGTAATGCCTTGGTTCGGTATTTCATATAATATAATATGCGATTAAATCCTATCTGAATGAAATAACTTGTTAAGGGTTCGTTTGGCATCGCTGTGGTTTTTAGTTTTGGGTTTTTTGCTTATTAAAAGTATATTATATATGTCACATAATGAATCAAAAATTATTTAAGCTTATTAAAATCATGATAATTTTAAAAACTGATAACAGAAAAGTGGGAACACTTTTTTCTTGTTTCCTGTTTTTAGTTTTTAGTTTTCGAAAAAACAGATATTGAAAACAAAAAATAATGCCAAACAAGCCCTAAACAATTGTAATTTATTTCACCGGAGGAGTATAAATTGATTTGATAATTTAGATTGTTTTTATGTTAATTCGCATAATTAATTAGTTCAAGTATAGAGAAGAGTCTTGTATTCATATATTTGTAATAGTTTGATCATTCGCGGCAGTTAATCATCAAGAACCCATGAAATTAAATGATTACTCTTAATTCCTTAACACAACATACACGATGTTAGAAAAAAAACAATGGAAATTGATGTTCAAAGAGACCGGATAAATTCTTCAAGGCACGTGATAAATGCTTTCCTAATAGTTATTTATCGACTCTCTTTGGAACAATCGAGTTACACGATAAAACTATTGGGATACAATGAAAAACCAATTAGTTTTGCTTGTTCTTACAAAACTAATTCAACAAAGTTTGAGTAGAAATGTGTTTGTGATAGGTGTGTCGTGTACCTAACAAAAAGAAACCTAACTATACCACTACTATGTAGACAGGCAAGCAAGGCTCAAATCCCAAGAGACAATAGTTCAACTAATTAAATAGACTCAAACAGTTACTAAGCAAGTAACCAATTCAAATAAGTACGAATCAATATCTAAAGAACCAATTAAAACGATTAAATCTAAACAATATGACAAATCAATGCTAAAAACATCCAAGATCAAGCATCACCACGAATACAATTAATGCAATAGTCGTTCTACCCCTAACACATAATTCAATTGATTAAAGAGGAAAAGTAATCCTTGAATAGTACCAATGGTCTCTCTCGAGTTATCAATAGCTTCTCTAATCACAATCAAGCCTACTTCCGTGGAATAATGTAAATTAAAGAACTTAAGCACATTACTCTAACTTCCTAATCATCCATTCAACTACCCCCCTGATGATCTTCAAACCCTTAATTGATTTATTCAAATCCGTCAAAACCCAACTCCCGTTACGATTAAAACAATGGATTAATAACAATACCAATTATCCCTAATCTAGTATTGGCATGAGCACAATCAATTAAGCATATCAATTGCAATTATCATTAGAGAATTTAAAGAATTAATTCATGCATCAATCATATTCAGGTTCCGCTAGATCTTGGAATAGGGAAACTACTCACACATATTAATGAAAACAATAACAAGAATTAAAGAAGACATAATTAACAATAAAAGGAATTAAGGAGAATAAGGAAATACCAATTCTTGAATTATGAGAGATAAATGAAGAAACTTGAGTTCATAATCTTGAATTACAATGAAAATAAAGTATAGAGAGAAAACTAGGGTTCTAAGATGATAGATAATAAAATTATAATGCTCAAGAGTATGTATAATAAGGCTAAAAGATAGGATAGAATAAGGAAAGAAATTGGATTAAAACCGACCAAGCAAATTCGTCCAGGCATGGCGTGTCACACAGGACATGCCCATGTCAAAAGTCGCACTCAATTTTTCTTCAATCTCCAGTGAGACATGGGCATGTCAAATTCTGACATTGCATGGGCGTCTCGCTGAGCCAACTTCACTTGACGAGGCATGGGCATGCCCGCATTCAACACGGCCATGCTTCCCTTAGCACGTAGCTGCTAGCTCAAAACACTCGACTCGACATGGGCGTGCCTCGGATGAAACTTCAACTTCTAACTTTCTTTTCTCAAAACACACTGACCTGAGTGACATGGCCTGGGCGTCTCTGGCTGGAAATTACCGTTAAGTGAATTCAACTTCAAACTTTGGCTTTCTAGGTGAATTGCAAGCTATGATCACGATCCGCAACTCCGTAAAACTTCCAAAAATCTTCGTTAAATCCTAAAATACGTAAAAAAAAAAAAAACAACAACGAATCTACCCATAAAAGCATCGTATGATCACAACTAAACCAAATCAAGCCAAAATAAGCTATGAACAACTAATCTAAACTCGAAAACTACCTAAATAGACTGTAAAAACACGTAATCCCTCCGTCCCTAAATTACATTCCTGTTTGTAAAATTACACGGGAATTAAGAAGGAAAGAATAAGACAAATAACAATAATGAAATATTTCAATGGAAATACAAAATATTAAAGGATGTCTTTGAATAAAACAAAGATAGATTAATGATACCATGTCATCAATCCTTTGCAAAAAAAAATGTACCAATAACATACTTCTAATTTAAAATTAAGAACCAATCATATTCATTAGGTTAGTTATGGAAAGTACAAACTTGAGAAAAACGATGGAGAGAAAAAATAAGAGTGAAAAACATTAAATATACAACTTAAAAAGAGAGTTGATTTGAGATATTTGAAGAAAAAAAACTTACTAAAGATAGAAAGAATAATGTAATTTTGGAATTGAAATACCCAAAATAAAAACCATGAATTTTATTTTGGGGCGAAGGGAGTACTTTTAATTTTCAAAAACGTCTATCTCTAAGGCACCTACTGATATTTCTATCCTCTACTGAAAGTTTGAAACAGCTAATGAGGCAATTTGTAGTCTCTTCGAATAACACTTTCACAATATAGGGTTCATTGTTGATCTAATTTAATTTAATTTTCTGCATAGTAAATTTAGGCTTTTAATATTTGAACTATTGGTTCTAAATTCTAATTACTAAGGTTCTGAAAAACCACAATGAGCAATTGAGCATTATGCTGCTAGAGAACGAAAATTATGAGCCTAATTTGATAATTGAATCAAATGTGCTTTTTTCTGAGTTTTAGAGCGTGATAATAATTGAATAAAATTTGGTTTACAGAACCCTTATTGCTTTATTCGCTGAATTATCATTTGTTGAAGTTTGGAATTTAATCAAAGATTGAATTTTTGCTTAAAACACTGAATGTAAGTGATAATTGTACTTAATTTTCAGATTTTCTTTAGTGTTGAAGTGTGCATGGTATAAAGTAGATGTTAAATGTATACAAACAGAACAATAATTGAATTTGTTGAGATTTTCTTGAGGATGCCCCGGTTTCTAATGGTGAGAAACAAATTTTGTTTCTCACATGACATTTTCGTAAATAAACTAACAACTTTATTCAATTATGGAGCCCACAATAATGAAAAAGTTGTTGATTTATTCATGAAAATGCCATTATGAGAAACACCATGAGAAACAGGGAATTTCCCATTTTCTTGAATGGTGAAAATTTGGTTTGAGTTTATTTTATTTACTTGTCATTTGCAATGATTGTAGGCCGGAACAGAAGTTGATGACTTATGGTGTGGGAACATTGCGGAAAAAGATGTTAGTGAGGGAGAGATTGATCTAGAAGAGCTCGAAAGACGAATGTGGAAGGATCGAGTAATCAAGCTTAAATGAATGAAAGAGGGAACCTGGTGCTAGTAGTGATAGTGATTATGATGTTGATGGCATTGGTAACCATTTAATTTAGCTTAATTTTCTTTTTCAGGCAATCTGAATCAGAGATGAAGTTTGAGCTTGTGCAATGTTACTAGATTACTTTAATTCATTCATCCAAACAACAGTAAAATGATCAGATCTTGAGGATTTGACATTAAATTATTGATATGTTTGGATTGGTTTTGTATATTTTGTTTGGTTGATCTTAATCTTCTCATTATGAGGCATTGAAATTCTTCGGATTTGATCATGATCTTAATCTTCTCATTACGAGGCATTGAAATTCTTCGGATTTGATCATTATGTTCTTCCCCATTGCCGGTAGTGATACTACTGCAGGCTGTGCCTTAAATCTTAGACTATGATCGTGTATCTTAACCTCGTCTCAACATTCTCTCTTGATGTAGGCTGCAGTAAATGTACTCATCCGCAACCACGGACTTTTCTTTGATCTTAGAGGACCCTTCCATGGATATCTTTAATTTAAGGTTGGACCTTGATTTGTTTTGGAATTCAAATTTTAATGCATGTAAGACCATCTTTGTAGTAGAAGCCATCTAATGCAAGTTTGTCACGGTTTAGGGTCTGTTCTGGTTTACTTAATTTAACTTAATTGTTTATAGAGAAAAGGAAATTAGAAAGTGAACTGAACTAAAATTAAGCTGATGAAAATAAGCCCTTATTACATGTAGCATTTATGTATTTGTATTAACGCTAAAATAAAGTGATGTTTTCTAAATCACCCTAAAAAAATTCTTTACTAAGTTTGAAGGTATGAGGGGATTTTGATACAAGAAATACACAAGTACTTTACAAGTGTGTATAAAGTTTAGATGACACTCGTCTAATATCTTTTAA